CATGGATTTAGAAATTAGTGAAGCTTTCGAATCAAAAATTGATTTCGTAGTGTGCAAACAAGTTATCTTTTTGTGTTTATGCACAATCCAGTACGGCAGTAYCGCCTAATACATTTGATAAATAAATACCCGAAAAAGTATGAAGGTATTATAAATATCTTATTCATAGAGGATRGTATAAACGGGTAGTGCCGGCCCCGACGGCCGACAGTATAGAATACTGGGCCGTTCACCTCCCAGTCCGYCCCTGATACGACGTCTATGTAATTTTACTGCGTCCCCCACAAGACGGATTAAAAACGGCTGTTTAGATGATGATGAAAAAACTGAGGCGGTAAAACCATTTGAACTTTATACCGTGAAAATACCGTAGTATAGGTCCTAATAACTACTTATTTTTAAGTTTTGTCAGAGCCTCGTTTAACGAGGGGCAATTGCCCCAAGGCGGAAAATATTATGATGTTTGATGGAGCTTCAAATTTTTGAGGATTGATATAAAATAAAAAATATATAATTATAATTATAATTTTCTTAAAGGCGGTAAGTAGGGTTGCCACCTTTGAAAGATTGCAGACCCGTAGACGAAATAGGCTAATAAGCAAAATAAAAAGGTAAATAAAATTATACTATATTATAATACCTATGCGTATAACAGATAAAGATTAAAATATGTATAATTAATAAAAGGTAGAATTTGAAAAAMAAGTTAATTTAATCACATATTTTRTTAGATGTTGAAAAGTACAAAATATGTTTATTTAAGTTTAAAATCGTTACTTTACATATTTTTAAATTTTTAATATTAGAACATATTAGACAAAATTAGAACTAATATTATTACGATTACCTGGAGAATAATTCACTGAACCCGTAGGCCGTAACCCAACTAGCCTGTAGATTTATTTGTAAAACCGGAGTATCCGGGTGAAACCCCGAGAGGTGGTAACCCTAGCGGCAACGTAGCTTAACACGGTACAGACTGTAGAGTACTGTAAATTGATATTATAATAAATTAATAATAGTGTAATTCCAACACTTCACTTACATACCAATTATCGGCTACCACAAACWAARATCTCAGTGACTCCGGACTCGGTCTGAGCCCAGCTAGCCAACGCCCAACAAGCCAACTGCTACAGCCGCTACAGGCCTACAGCTAAAAATCTAAAATCAATTTATTCATTATATTTATCTTAGTACACAAGAATAACATTTTAATGTAATTTGCATCCATCGACTTAAATATTTT